TATTTGAAAAGTACCTTTAAAGTTCTAGAGAAGAATTTATTCATGAAGATTCAATTCAAAATGGATATATTTTCAGATATCCTTAAAAGCCAAGTGTTGAGATTTCTGAGATCAGCATTAGTTTGAAGAAACTCTAGATGATCTTTTCCATTGCTTATCTGACTCTTAAATATTTCAGGTATGAACTGTTACCTTGATTCATCTCAATTATGAATCAATCAATTTACTTTCTCTTGTTCATCAGGTCACTTTGACTAAACAAAACATAAACTTTCCAAAGAATGTAAGTTAGTCAACGACACTAATGTCAATTTAGTTACTTATTTTGAAGTCATTAATCATAATAACATAACTCTGTGAAACTTTATTTCATGAGGCGTTGCTTCATTTTATGATTCTGTTTTTCTTATTTATAAAACATTTCAATACAGATTTACAGATTGTATAGTTTGAATTATTGAAGCATAGACTAATGAAGAAGGAGAGAACTTCTTCACAGATGATTAACTACATAATTCTAAATGTTTAGAATATCAAAATAAAAAGAGTTGATTGTTAACTTTTATAAGAAATTCTTCAGTTCTATTTCATTCTAACCTCGTTAAAAGTATCACATGTTGGCATGGTGAAATTTTATACACACAACCCTGTTTCTCTCAATTTTATATCATGATTTTTCTTACACCATGGTAACATTACGTCTTAAATTCATTTTGTATTGTTTGTTTGAATCTTCTTAATGATGTTTGAAACTGTAATTGATCAGTCTCTTCTTGATATATGTACATACTATGAGGATTGCTTCAATAATGCTTCAAGTCACAAGCATTATAAACGAAGGTGGATTGTGGGTAGCAATGGAATCCAGTGTTCGACCTATGTAGAACTCATCATCTGGATATAGCTGCATCTCAGAGTTGATGTTCACTCCAGGACTCGAACGCAGTATCGTTCATTCCAAACACCATCGTGTTATCGACTTAGTCCTGATAGCCATGTAAGATGGAACTTGCATCCTGGATTCCACTACTAGCCGTCATTCATCTTTGCTAACAATATGTCTGTCAACACTGATTATTGTATATGCTAAACGATCAAGAGCGTACATTAATATTCTAGAAATTTACTCAAACTATCAAATCAATAGGTCAGCGGTTGATCAGATGAAACTACCGTTTATCTTTGTAAGCAACTAAGGAGAATCTATGAAATAAATGAATTAATGTTATTCTCCTACGATATTTTTCTTTGTTTATTCCAGTTTATAAATGGGATAAGTTATATGGAATAAATTAGAATTTTGACAGTTGAACTCATGGGGCGATTTAAGCTAGACCATCATTGGAAACCTGGGAGCACTGGACGGTTGTCTCGTCCTAGTATGAGACCCCTTAGCAGTGCGCAATCACGATCACACACTCGGGATTCTAACCTTAATTCCCACTTACGAATGACTAACCTCTTAACGACTGAGCCAGTATTCAGCACTGTTAATGTCTAACTTCGATCGATCTATAATCTTCCTCATACCTTCATTCATTGTCTGAGGTGGATAGCCGTCTCACAGCCAATACAGATGTGCACTTTTGAATAGTCCGATACTAGGATGGGACGGTCGTTCAATGCTTTCAGGTTCTCAATAGTGGTCTAACACTGATTGACTCATGAATTCAATTGTTGAAATACTACAATCTCCACAAATTCCCAAATTAATAAGCAAGAATTATTGAGAAATAATTTAGAAAATGATTTTTCGATAAATTACAATTGCTACAGATACCTTATGTTTGAATAAAACTAACTGAAAATACAATGTAAGTGTTATATCTTGCGATTGCCAATAAGGGAGCAGTGACTTATCGATCAGACCAATGACGTGTAAGCCCGTATGAGCAGCCTAGAGTCTTGATTGTTCTTGCTTCCTGTTTAGCCCAGCCAGTTATGTCCAGAACACCAATCTGAGCCTCTATAATATGAATCATTATATTTCAAACATACTGAGTTTATATGCCAATCAAACGGACCACAATGTACCAATAAAATATGAAGTAACATTTGTACAAGAGTTAGCCAGATGTGGCTGTGAATGAGGGAGGTAGTGATTAACAGACAGGGAATAACTCAAGAATGGTAAATCGTATAATAATAGTTTATGGGTCAAAATAAAGCTTATAATAAGAGGAATATGAATATGCATAGTTTAGTTACTGAATAATTACACAATAGAAATATACGTTTAGTATTGGTCCATCAATAGATCCCAAAAGTTACCATTCATTATTCTTGTCGGGACATAACAGTAAGTTATTGTATCATTCTCTTAAGAAGAAATCAAACTGTCTTATTTGTATTTATGCTGAAATGTTAATTGTATTTTTTTTTTTTTTGGTGGATAACCTCGGTGAAATTTCCCTAATTTGTATTTCAGTAATAACATTTATTGTTACCTGGATTGTTTATCATCGCTTCTGATTTGTTAACTTTGTTAATAGTTGGCGAAATAACCGCACGTTACTATAGAGACAGAATGATTCCTTTTTCTTAGTTTTTGTTTTTACTTCTGTATGGAATGTAAAGTTATCTTCAAAGTTCTGTCTTCAAAATTAATTATGTGAATCATTAATGTTGATAGGTTATTGTATGATGGATGGTCGTATTAAAGAAATGCGCTACCGTTCACAAATACAATTATACATAAATCAACTGTAAACGTTAGCGTTTTTTTAGCGAGTTAGTTTTCTACGGGATGAGGTGGCTAACCCAATGCCCAACCCTTCTCCTTTATCCAGGCTTGGGACCGGCGATAGCCTCCGGAGGGACTCCAGGCGGAGTCTGAAGTTAAACAGTTATTTCGGTTAAACCATATTATGGAGATGAACTAGTCAGCATCAAGCAAACTACATTTGAGTTTTATACAACATTCAAAACTGAACGACTTTAGTCTTAAGTTACATGAAAAACTATGTACACCTACCTTTGTGTAAAACTCGATACATTTGAAAATGGTAAAAGAAATTCTTTTTCTCATCATACAGTGAAAAAGACAGTGATGACGTTATCGAATGCTTTCTTTCAACTGTGTAGATTTGATGTAACGAGGGAATTGTGGAGTTATTGTTATGGCTTTAAGTTGGGTGGATTTTTACCCTGTGCTAATTGTTGTGTCCTTGACTGGAAAATTAGAGAGCAGCGTACTTATCGATCGACTACAGTGACTAGTAAACACGAACGGACGGCCTAGAGTCTCGATTGGTCTCGCTTCCCTGTCTAGCCCAGTCAGTTGAGTCCAGAACACAAGCCACAGCCTCGGAGATATGAATCGTTATATTTCAAACATACTCTGTTTATATACCAACCAAACATACCACATCGTACCATAAAATAGAAAACAACATTTTGTACAATATTCAACAAGTGAACAGATATCGACCAATAGGAAATGTCCATTTAAAGTCCAAGGACACATTGGACTTAACATGATAATTATTGGTCTATTCCTCCGCATCCACAACAGTTATCATGACAATTCACTCCAAAAAAGCCTCTTCATCTACAGTTCAATGAATAATAATTGAGACAATACCGCCACCGGAGTGCTAAAACAGATAACTATTTCCATATATGATTTTCCTTCATCATTTTGTCTTATCATTCTAAGTCGTTTGCTCTTCAATGGATATAATGATGATTATTGTGTTAGTGACGATGAATTGTCAAGAAAGCTATGCCTAACTATAAGACGTAGTCAGGAACTGACTTTTTAAATGAATAGTTTTGTATGCAAATCATTGACGTTATGTGATATTATATTTCTGCTGTAGACGAATAGGAGAATTAATCATAAGCCTTGAAAAACTGATGAACTACATGAAATGATCAGTCTCTATCATGTTTCATTAGTTCTGTTGTAAAAACAAACTTGTAATTGACCTCATAGGGACTTAATAATTATGAGATCATTACAAGAATCCCTATATTGCCATCGCAATAGTTATATTTTTGGTTTAAAATAAGATCACTCATCAAAATCTTGATACGATATAAGAACTGTACATCGAATACTTCATTTGCAAATTTCTATCATTTCTACATTACATTCTTACAGTTCATAAACCCTTTCTATTTTCTGTTCTATTCTTCTAAACTTGATCTTCTCAGTGTTTTTCTGCCAGGTTTTCTACTTCCTATCGATGTTACATACTACTTATGTCAACAAACAAGAATAGCATACACAACAACTGAATACTTTTCCGTCCATTGTTCTTTGTTTTTCTTATTACTGATCTATGCTAGCTAGAGAAATTATGGTAACTATGGAACAATAGATATATCGCTCTAACTTGGAACTCATTAAAAGCTTTTCTTCAAATGATATTGAACACACAGTCTCTAGGTCTTTAGATGTAAACTATGAAAATAAACCAATGAATCACAATTTAATAATTCGTGTCTTCATATTATCAATCTCTTTGATTGTCTATTACACATGGTTATCTTCTTAGAAGGTTTATAGCAGCATATATGATAAGGGTGTTTTCAAAAATGGTGATTTGACCTACCATAAAATAACAAATATTTTACTATCAAGTGAAGATAAACATAACGTCTAGCCTCAGTCACTTCTGATAGACATGTACAACAATCAATCATCTGTTTGCTATGTTACGAATGACTAAAATGTAAGATTGTTGAAGAGAATTGGTATGTAGTTTGAAACAAAAAATTTTCCCTAGCTCACACCCGCCAAACTAAATTATATGTAGTATAGAAAGTACAGATTATTCGTATCTCACTCGAACAAATGTCCCCTAGTGTCATGGTCAAAAAACATTGTAACTTAGCTATAAAATCCACGACTAACCTCTTTCAAGACTGGCACCGATATGTAGCTAAATGATGAGCAAATTCATGTTGATCGACTTGTATTCTCCATAATTATAGTTACCTAAGTAATTATAAATATTTGTTGATATAATCTTAACTTTTTAATTTATTTTTAGGGTCTAAATTGACGTCGTTCTTGTCATTACTCATTTCTTTACTACTTATACAAATATCAGTAGCATCAAACAGTGAATCAAAACACTATCTTTTAATACACGGTCCAATGCATACGAATGTTCAGATTAACTCAACTGTACTATTGAGATGTCGTGTTCAACTTCAGATTCAAAATGATCTTAAAGAAAATCACTACAAAGTATTTCAGAATAGTAAATTGAATAATGAGGAATACTTTTCAGATGTTTCTTCATCATCATCTGCCGTACCGGGAGCAGTTTGGCAAGTTATCAATCCATATTTATTGTCAGATAAGTTGAAAATCATTGTTCAATGGATGAAAGATGGATTTGGTTATGATCAAGATACATTGAGACAAACATTTAATGGAAGGTATACATTGGTTGAATCTGAGGAAAAAGGTTAGTCATTACACACGACTTTACTTTCTCTCAACACAATACACTCTTAATTTGTGGATTGGTTTGTTTAAATATTTGTTTTACTCACTTTCATTATTTATTTAGTCCGTTTGATAATGATTTCGAGTTGCCTTTGAATACAGTTTTCAATATGAGGACATACTCTTTGGCGATGTAATTGAAGTAAGGGACAAATCCTAAACCGAATCCAAAATGAAATGTATCTAAACAAGTGGTGATTATTGAGTTGAAATTTAAATGTAACATACATTATTCTGATTATCATAAGGCTATCCTTCCAGTTGTTTGATTTGTAATGATCATATTGCAATCCACTTGATTAGATGATATTCAATATTGTAAACTGTGCTCAAATATTTAAATTGTAAAAAGAAGATCTGTTGCTCAAATAGGTTGATGTAGATGACATTATATGCTCTAACGCTGATTTACTGATATGTTTCTCCATAAAAAACAGTCTTTTCTATCTTCTCTGTGTCGAGTGCTTAACTTCTTAATTGGATCTTAGACGATTCAACTCCACCGCAATCATCATACATCATCATCCATTATTTAAGTGTACCTGGATCATGTTTGTTTAATGCTTATATTATAGTGTCGCCACGAGCCTTGTTGTTCCATACTATAAGGTTTAATGTTTATTGGTTGAAAGCAGTCGAGAGGAAAGTATAATCGCATGCTTCGTATTGGTTGACGATCATTTTTAATCTTAAGGGAACTAACGGTGGTTGTGAGATTAGAATGTGTGTTACTTTCCATCAGGAACTAGATTACTAGGTATGTTAAAAATTGTCTGAATTCTAATAAATAAACAAACGTAACACTGGTGTAAACGTCTCACTCACACAGTGCCTGATGAACTCGGTAGTAATTCCTCTGACTATGAAACTGGATGATCAAGTTTGGAATCTCATATGGAGCATCACTGTGGGTACTTTCTAAGTCTAAGTAAGCTAAAGGTTCTTGTTTATTGGTTTTGATCACATTAAATAAACTCCCTGAATATTTCTGATTGATGAATACTACAAATAAAACCTATATATTCTCTCGACTCAAATCATCTCTCCCTTTCAATTTAATAAAGTAAATTTTAGTCATTTTGAGAAAAACCACATTTGATACGGTCAGTAAAGAAACTCTATCAAAAACTCGATTTCAACGGGGATATAGTAGGTGACATTTTAACAAGTTGACTCAAAAAGTCTGCTGAAAGGACATTCCCTTCCTCCAAGTTACATATAGTCTCAGCCAAACCAGTACTTACACAACAAATCAATGATAGGTGACCGATGATGGGCTCCTTCATGTATGCTCCTATGGACTTAGTTACATAGGTCATACTCAGAACGCTTTATCCTTGTGTGCTCGTGAACATGTACTAGTATGATTCAGAAAAAGAGTCACTAGATTAGTTAATAGCCTCATTCTTTTTTACTTGGTCGATAGTGAACATCATATTAAAATCAATCAGATTTCATCCATTTCGTAACAACATCCAAATAGTCCAACTAAAGAAGCTAAATTACAATTACTCTACATAGCTGAAGCCATCTAAATCAACACTAGAAAATCGAACTTAAGTATCCAGAAGAAGTATATTCAGCCTCTATATTTACTGTGGTTAACAACTGGATATCAAATCTTCATTTGAAATTTGAGAAGATAACAATTTATCAAATGAAAACGTGTAAATAAATAATTACTGAAAGAGTAAAAAAAAACACTAACTTTAACCGGAACAAACAATACTACTTATTAGTGATTTCATATAAACAACATAAAAATTTCGTTCGGTGGGAAAAACAGTGAGAAGATAAAATATAAGATTTAAAAAATGGTGGTGGTGGTGGTGGTGGAGGGAATAGAACAAAGTAACAATGGTGTCAGTAATAACGATGTTGGTGATAATAATAGCATCAACATATATATCTGCTTATTTACATTTTACCAAATTTTAAAGATTGTTAGTGTTTACTAATTGTAGGCAAATATGTCAATGTATGTGTGTGTGTGAGAGAGAATGAATGTGTTGGGACTAGATGAATAAACAAGAAAAAATAGGTGAATAACTTCTTGATTGAGATCGTGGACCACCAATGAAAACCTGGAAGCACTGGACGACCGTTTCGCCCTATTGTGGGCTTCCTCAGCAATGTGCATCCACGATCCTGCTCGTGGGATTCGAACCCAGGTAAATAACTGTTTTACTGAAATTAAACATATGATTAGAATCATAGCACAGAATGAACATGGGCATCAATATGAATACAGTGTATTGAATAATATTGATGATGATTATGATCATTCCGAGAAGATTATCTTAATATTATCAGTAAGTCAGAGGTAAACTATGCAATAACCAATGACTATCTGAACCCAGTAGCTTAGTGAATAATGCGTTGAGGTTTGAAATGAACGATATTTAGTTTTCATCTCAATATGAACAATAAAAACTGTCTTAAGGAGTTTCAAATAGGATGAAACAGACATCCTGGACACTATTATTAACCATTATCTAAATTTATTAAAATCTTTTGTCAAGAGAATGTTGAAAAGAGACAAGAAAAACAGTTATATACATGTATAGCGTGTTTTCTCTTTCACCAATAATTAAGATATAAGTTTTCGATGGATATTTTCATGATTATGATATTAATGATGGAAATAATGAAGGGAACGTAATGTTAGGATAGTGTCTGATGTGCTCTTGTTAATGTTAGTGTTGGTGAAATACCGGAATGATATGATAATGATAATGTGGAATATTTTGAGGATAACAATCAAATTTATGTCAACGATAAGTTATGCTCGTAAATGATCTGTAATGATCAATCAGATCATAACTTTATTACCAATCTGTGTGAATCATTTAATTTGTAATGGTTTGAACTATTTTTATTGTTGATATTTTGGTTGAAACTTGATCAGTCCTGGTTGGCATATGTGCATCTTGTATGGAATGCTTCAATAAAATCATTATGACAGAAGTTAAGTATAAAATAGATGAGATGTGGCTAGCGGTAGAACCCAGGATTAGAGTTTTGTCCTGCTATGAACTTGTCAGCTGGACATCTCTACGTTCTAGAGTTAATATCAAGTTCGGAACTTGAACTTAGTACCGTTCACCTCAAACGCCATCACTTTATCTTTATAGCTACTAAGTTCAGATAGGTACTTAATATGCCAAACGATACTAGAACTGAGTATCAATTCTGGGATCATGCACATCGAGCTGACAAGTCTTAAATATTCCAGTGCTAGTTACATTCCACAGTAATTGAGTTTGACTTTGGTTCAGCTTGAATTTACTTGACTATCAACTAATGAACTATGTAACCATTTTCTTATACAAATAAGTTTTATTTGTAGTTTGCCCACTTTTTGTATCTCCAGTTACTGTTCAGTACATAGACTTTTTTCATAGATCATGATATATAATTTCTCTTCCTGTAATAATTGAATAATTTATAACGCTTTACATATTTACCAGTGGATTCCTTCTTTTTTGTTAGACAGTAAAAATGTTTTGTTCTAGTTGTATGACCTCCTTATACAAATTGCATCTGTTTTGATCGGTAATCTTGTGTTATTCATGTATTCGTACTATAGTGGGACTCCTCAACAATGTGCATCCACGATCCCGCTCGCGAGGTTCGAACCCATGATTTTTAGTTTTGCGCGTAAACGATTAGCCTATTTGACCACTGAGCCGGCATCTAACGGTGTTGATGTCTAACCTCAACCAATCTACGAGATTGCGCGACAGTCTTCCATTGTACTGAAGTAGATACTTGTTTCTACCCGACAAGGATTAGTTCCACTGGTCACGACTTCTCAATAGAACTCTAAGAATTCCCTAACGAAGTTAGTCACTAATGAGTACGTGATAATTATCAGTATAGGGTTGTGGAGATTATTAAGTTATTGGTTGAGATCTTGAGCTCTGGGTCCGAATCCCGCAAGCGGGATCGTATATGAGCATTGCTGAGGAGTCCCACAATAATAGGACGAAACGGCCGTCCAACGCATCCAGGTTTTCAATGGTGATCTAACATCAATCTGTTCAAGATTCCAGTCAATAACTTAATAATATCCACAACGCTGTACTGATAATTCATGTGATCAAGTTTCATAATGAGAGGTTTCAATATTGAAGCTTCTTTGTTACTTTCATAAAAATGATGAAAATTAAATGGATTAACCATATTTCAGTCATAATTATTTATTATTTAGTTGAACGCATAGAATTTGGTACAAGGGGGCACCAGATACAAATGCGCTACACAGATCTCATTCGATATGTGTGAGGGCTGTGATACTGCCTGGGTGTGCAGACCGAAGTAGATGATTTCCTTAGGGGGCCACACTCCAAGTCTTTGACCTAAAGGTCTGATCCACAAAGCAGTGGAGCATCTTCAAGAGATGCAGTCCCATGGTAGCCGGTGACCAACGATTGGTTCATGCGCCATTTGTTCTAGCAGGATACTGGAACCCATGTGTACCACTGGTTCGGGATTCGGATAAAGTGCCGGACATTCGCTTTTCATCCTCTCATTTCCGTAAACAACACCCCAGCCACGAGAAGGCAGTGAGTGGAACTTCTTTGGCAGAGGCTATATACACGTGGCCGTGTGAGAGTAATTCGAGAGGGAGGGAGTGCCCACCCCACTCTCGGCCATACCAGAGCATTTGGGAGCATTTCAGTCATAAGGTTTGCAAGGATTATTTCATTTGTATTCAATAACATTCAATGAATATAAACAGGTAATAATCAATTTGAATTTTGTTTTTCAAGAGTATCTTACATAATTCTTATTCATTCTATTATAGATGTATATGATTTAATGATTAAAAATATTCGTTTTGAAGATGAAGGTGAATATGCATGTCAAGCTAGATTGGTAAAAAAGACAAATTCTCAACACAGACCATATTATTTATATCAATTTGTTAATCAATCAACATTTTATCGAAAATCAATAAAATCGAATATGACCAATCACTTTGATTCATCAATACATGATTTACTTAATTTACCAATGAGTTTAATTAAAAGTAATACCGCATACTTAAATGTTATTGGTAAGTTAACAATGAAATAATGTATCGATTATATTATAATAATGGTTAGTTACTTCTGAATTGTTGTCTTAAATCTATTCATTCATCAGTTTGTGAAGGTTTATACAAGATAATTAAATGGAAAATCAAACTGTACTTACTTACTTTCGCCTGTTACTCCCAATGGAGCATAGGCCGCCGACCACCATTCTCCAACACACTCTGTCCTGGGCCCTCTTTTCTAGTTCTATCCAATTGTTGTTCATTGTTCTCATGTCTATCCCCGTTTCTCGGTGTAATGTGTTCTTTGTTCTTCCACTCCTCCTCCTCCTTTGGCCTTGAGGATTCCATGTGAGGGCTTGCCTTGTGACGTAGATGGGTGATTTCTTCAATGTGTGTCATATCCACTTCCAACGTTTCTTCCTGATTTCTTCCTCCACTGGGATCTGGTTTGTTTTCTCCCAAAGTAGGTTGTTGCTGATAGTGTCTGGTCAACGGTTCTGAAGTATTTTGCGTAGACAACTGTTAATAAACACTTGTATCTTCTGTATGATGGATTTCGTAGTTCTCCAAGTTTCCACTTTATACAGTAGAACTGTTTTGATATTTGTAATGAAAATCCTGACTTTGGTGTTGGTTGACAACTGCTTTGATTTCCAGATTATCTTCAGTTGTAAGTATGCTGCTCTTATTTTACCGAACCGCGCTTTCACATCTGCATTAGATCCACCGTGCCCAAATATGTAAAGGTCTTTACATCTTTCAAAGCTTCTCCGTCAATTGTGATTGGATTGGTGCATGCTGTGTTGTATCGGAGAATCTTGCTTTTCCCTTTTGTGCATGTTGAGACCTGATGCTGCTGAGACTGCTGCTACATTGGTTGTCTTCTCCTGCATATGTTGTCGCGTATATGATAGAAGAGCTAGGTCATCTGCGAAGTCTAGATCGTCCAGCTGCATACTAAATGTCTTTTGTATCCCATGCTTTACCCCAGATGTTGATGTCTTCATGATCCAGTCGATAATCAGACTGTAAAAGTAGTTAAATTTTAGATGGCAGATTTATCTCTTCATATGTGAATAGAATATCGAGCTTAATAATCAAATGTTATTTAATCATATTAGTTAAAACGAAGAAACTCGACAATAACTTAACATCAATCTAGGGTGTATTAATACAATGTAGTCGGACAGACTAGAGACTAATTAAAAAATCAAACATGATATCAAGTTCCCTTTGAACTGTGTTGGTTGATAAGTCACATTGTAACAAATATTGAGGTGCGATGTTGAATAATTGTACGGGTGAACACTGTTGAAGATTAATACGCTTGAACAGAACGGATTTCATCATAAAATAGAATGAAGTTTCTGTTTAGTGATCTTTAGATTTATTTTTTATATCAACTGTAAATGAAACTCTTTTCAAATTGATTGACTTCACTGACAGCATCTATTTAAGAAGATTCATGTAACTACTCAACTCCTATCGAAGTAATGTAGTGTCGGTTATTCTGTTAAGCCTAGATAACTTTTTCTCGCTTTCGGACAACCCATTCTATTCATTCTAATTGGGTCACATTCTGATCTTGTTATTTATTCGCTCATCAATCTTGACTGTTTTTATATGAGCGCGTAGGTGTGTGTACATTTCTTATCCCATTACTCACCACATGTCTGTAACTTACTTTTGTGTGACTATAAATATTGATTAAAGCTTAGTTAAATGGGAGTTGGCTTACCAGCTATCTCCACTCCGCGTCGTTTCTCTTTTCGCTATCCCATTCGCTTCATATACAAAATATGTGTATTCAAAGGTCCATTCTTGTTATTCGACTTATTTAATTCCGTTATTGACTGAAGCGAATAAAGTCAATGATTATATACGAGGATAGGCGACATATATATTTCAACAACAATCATCATTACGATATCCTTGGAGTCAGATTTCGGGCCACTAAAGTGGAGAGCCCTTTCGACAACATCGTTCGATCTAAGTGAAGATTAAATAAGGGGCCTCCACAAAAGTAACGTTACATTTTATAATAATTAAGTAACTTTTGTTACCATCATTCTAAATACAGGTAGCGATACAAAGGCGTTATTCACCATTTTACATTCAATCAATGCCATAACGACCACGACATAAATTGACGACAGTGCATAAGAAATAGATGACTGATTATTTACAGAACTTAAAAATATTCTCTATTGTAACTGATAATTATGTTATTCTCATGAGTATAAACATCATTTACTTGTCTAAATGGGTCAAACAAAATTAGTTAGTCATTTAGTCTATAGATGTTGTGTATTATTCAACTAACCTAGATTAGTGTGAAATTATGTATCTCAGTGATGGGTCTTCACTCACTCACTCACTCACTCACTCACTCACTCACTCACTCACTCACTCACTCACTCACTCACTCACTCACTCACTCACTCACTCACTCACTCACTCACTCACTCACTCACTCACTCACTCACTCACTCACTCACTCACTCACTCACTCACTCACTCACTCACTCACTCACTCACTCACTCACTCACTCACTCACTCACTCACTCACTCACTCACTCACTCACTCACTCACTCACTCACTCACTCACTCACTCACTCACTCACTCACTCACTCACTCACTCACTCACTCACTCACTCACTCACTCACTCACTCACTCACTCACTCACTCACTCACTCACTCACTCACTCACTCACTCACTCACTCACTCACTCACTCACTCATTCATTCACTCACTCACTCACTCACATCCTCTCTCACACAAGACCACCCTCACTTGAATACTACAATACATATGGATAATATGGTGAGATTAGGTCAACCTAATTCAAGTCTATTAGATAATATTATTATCTCACCTCTCAAATATAAATAATATCAAATTATATTTGTTTGCCTGAAGGAATTTAATGTATTAACTTACATTAAATTCAATATAATAGATATTCAATGTCCATTATATTACACCAAATGTCATGAACTCCATTAACTGACATATGTGTTTATTATGATTTTACCTCATGAAGATATAATGGAGAGTGGAAATATCCTAAAGACATATCAGAAATGATTTTAATTTAGTCAATTTCAGAATTAGGTAACCTGTTTTATTGATGACATTACAGATCTTTAAATTAACAAATCATAAACATGATGAGTAGAAATGAATCTCTGAATTAAGACTTCATTCCATTATACAAACTAGTGGCTGTGAAGACTCAATAGCAAAGTGGTTAGTGCTACAGCGTTTGAAGGGAACGGTACTAGGTTAGAGTTACGGAGTAAACATTAACTCTGGGATGCAAGTACAACCAGCTGATGTGTCCCAAATAGGACGAAACGCTCATCCTAGATTTCACTGCTTGCCACTATTTATTTCTGGGGGTAACTTTTATTCATAGATGTTTGTATCTTTACATTCACAATAAGGAAAACAATTGATCAATCACTTCGGGTTTATGTGCATCCCGAGCATCTTAATATTACCAGATATTCACAATATTAAAAAGATATGCTTAGCATTCGTTAGTATCGATAAAAAGATATAAACACTTACAAGATAATTTAGTAATCCGATCATGCTGAATAATGATATAGTCCACTAATTCGGATGTATAATTACACGCTTATTAAGTTACCGCTAATCAAAATACTACATTAATTACTAATACTCTGCAGATTGCTAGTATAATTAACTCACAAATGGTAACCAATTGAAAACATCGGTCTTTGTTTTCCTACTGATCATCCCTAAAGCATATTGTCATATGACAAATTATACCACCAAATTACACCACTCAGTAAAATGGTGACAATGAAGATGTAATTTATAGAACTGGATCAGGATTTATGAATACAACTATATGACACTGATACTACTACTCAGTGATCAATCATTCCGTGTACTCTAAATACTGGAAACACAGTGACAAGTTATCATTAAATATAACAAAGTTGTCAGTTATTTCAAACATAAGAACAGAGTACTTGATTTGCAATAGTCTTCTAACTAATATCCATTCTTTATGGAACTGTCCACTATAGTGGTAAATATTATTGTTAATATGTAACCTATTTATCAAGTGTAAATCTACTTGCTCCTTTTAAAGTAACACTTGCTGTGTGACAATTAGTAAGCATGTTCTGTCTTTTAAATTAAAACACAATACCTTTAAAAACTATATGAAATTCTAATTGAAAGTTGAATTCAATAACCTTCAAACTCCTAGAAAGTGCTCAGCCACAATCCTGCATACAGGATTCGAACCTAGAACCTTCGATATCGCGTGTGAACATTTAATCTCTAAGTTTTTATTGATGGTCTAACATCGATCCACTAGTGAATTCAATCAAAAACTTAATAACCTCCACAACCCCAGACTGATAATTACTATGTTCTTAATAGTGACTAGCTTCACGAGGGAATTCTCGAAGTTCTAGTGAGAAGCTGTGACTAGTTGTGCTAATCTGTGTCAAATAAAGACAGGTATCTACCATAGAAAATGGAAGATGGTCGCACAATTTCGTGGATTGATTAAAGTCAGACATTAACACCTTTGGATACTGGTTGGCTCGATGATCTACAAGTTAACTGTTCGCATGTAAGACCGAAGGTTCTGAGTTCAAATTCCTTCAGTGAATGTGCACTACTGATGAGTCTTATACTAAAACTAAACAACCATCTAATACTTCCATGTTTTCACTAGTGATCGAACATTCATCAATTACACATTGATTATTCTTCCAATGTTTTTTTCTTCTGTAGTTCCTCCAAAATCAATTCATTTAAATATTTTATTATATGAAAATGCCAAATATCGATTTTTCTACAATAATAATCAATTAAATGATCCTGTACAAAATGATCAATTAAATAATCAATCAATATGGATCCATTTAAATCAAACCATTCAATTTATATGTAGCACATCATCATGGAGTAAACCATTAGGACAATTATTATGGTACATAAATGATAAAGTACTATATCAGGTTAAAAATGAAAAGATATCGAATTATGATGTAACAAATTCATCATCATCATCATCATCATCATCGTCGACGTCGACATCGTCAACATCGTCGTCGTCGTCATCATCATCATCATCATGTCAACATATAAATGATTGTTTTCGAAAGAGAAAAGAATTATTCACTTGGTTAAATATGGAATTTTGTAATTTACAATATGGATGTCATATTATAAATAAAACACATAATTCAATGATAGTTGATCATTTCTCATATACAGGACAATTAATTGAATTTATTCAAATTAATGATATGCCTTCAGGTATTCAATTGTAAGTGATTCGCCTTCAATTACTTTTATTTATTTATTATTACAAACTACTGGTTTCAGAGCACACACACATGAGAATTAAAGTTTTAATGATGATGATGATGATTGTTGTGACATGAACTTGGGTCGATTTTTACCCCGCGCCAATTGTTGTGTCCTCGACCGAAAGATTAGAGAGCAGTGTATTATCGATCGGACCAAAGATGCTTATAACACGTAAGAACGACCTAGAGTTCTGACTGGCCCTGTTTCCCTGTCTAGCCCAGTCAGTTGAGTCCAAAACACAAGTCTCAGCCTCTGAGATATGAATAGTTATATTTCAAACATACTCTGTTTATATACCAACCAACCCGACCACAACGTACCAATAAAAAAGAAAATAACATTTGTACAATAATTAGCCAGAAGTGGCTGTGAATAACTTACTTACTTACTTACGCCTGTTACTCCCAATGGAGCATAGGCCGCTGACCAGCATTCTCCAACCCACTCTGTCCTGGGCCTTCTTTTCTAGTTCCATCCAATTCTTGTTCATTGTTCTCATGTCTATCTCCATTTCTCGGTGTAATGTGTTCTTTGTTCTTCCACTCCTCCTCCTCCTTTGGCCTTGAGGATTCCATGTGAGGGCTTGCCTTGTGACGCAGTTGGGTGTTTACCTCAATATCTGTCATATCTACCTCCAGCGCTTCTTCCTGATTTCTTCCTCCACTGGGATCTGGTTTGTTCTCTCCCAAAGTAGGTTGTTGCTGATAGTGTCTGGTCAACGGGTGAGTATTTTGCGTAGACAACTGTTAATAAACACCTGTATTTTCTGGATGATGGCTTTTGTAGTTCTCCAAGTTTCCACTTTATACAGTAGAACTGTTTTGATATTTGTAATGAAAATCCTGAACTTGGTGTTGGTTGACAATTGTTTTGATTTCCAGATGATCTTCAGTTGTAAATATACTGCTCTTGCTTTGCCGATCCGCGCCTTCACATCTGCATTAGATCCACCCTGTTCATCAATGATGTTGCCCAAATACGTAAAGGTTTTTACATCTTCCAAATCTTTTCCGTCAATTGTGATTGGATTGGTGCATGCTGTGTTGTATCGGAGAATCCTGCTTTTCCCTTTGTGTATATTGAGACCTATTGCTGCTGAGGCTGCTGCCACACTGTTCGTCTTCTCCTGCATCTGTTGTTGCGTTTGGGATAGAAGGGCCAGATCGTCTGCGAAGTCTAGATCATCCAACTGCATCTTAGATATCCATTGTATCCCGCGCTTCCCTTCAGACGTTTACGTCTTCATGATCCAGTCGATCACCAGGAGAAAGAGATAGGGTGAGAGTAAGCAACCTTGCCTAACACCGGTCTTCACTTCGAACGACTTTGTCAACTGTCCTCCATGCACAATTTTGCAGTGTAATCCATCATATGAGTTCTGTATGATATTGACTATCTTCTGAGGCACGCCGTAGTGTCGAAGAAGTTTCCATAGTGTTGTTCTGTCCACGCTATCAAATGCCTTTTCGTAGTCAATGAAGTTGATGTAGAGTGATGAATTCCATTTAATTTATTGTTCCACAATGATCCGTAGAGTTGCAATTTGATCTATACACGATCTATCCTTACGGAATCCTGCCTGTTGGTCACGAAGCTGGGCGTCTACGCAGTCCTTCATCCTGTTTAACAATACCCTGTTGAAGACTTTTCCCGGTATTGAGAGAAGAGTGATGCCCCTGTAGTTATCACACTTGCTGAGATCGCCTTTCTTCGGTATTTTGATCAGAAGTCCTTCTTTCCAGTCTGTTGGTACTTGTTCCTCATCCCAAATCTTGCTGAAGAGAATGTGGAGTATCCTTGCAGCTGCCGCTACGTCTGCCTTTAGTGCCTCTGCTGGAATGTTGTCCGGCCCTGCTGCTTTGTCAATCTTGATTTGTCTGATGGCCATGCTTATCTCTTCAATTGTTGGTGGGCCAACATTGATTGGGAGGTCCGTGGGTGCTGCTTCGATGTTGGGTGGGTTCAGTGGAGCTGGTCGAATCAATAGTTCTTTGAAGTGTTCTACCCACCTGTTACGTTGCTCCTCAATGTTGGTGATTACCTCGCCTTCGTTGCTTTTCACTGGTCGTTCTGGTTTGCGGCGATTTCCAGAGAGTTTCTTTGTCGTGTCATACAATTGTCTCATGTTTCCTTCTCTTGCAGCCTTTTCCGCCGCCGTTGCTAAGTCTTCCACATATTTACGTTTGTCGGTTCCGATGCTCTTCTTCACTTGTTTGTTAACTTCTGTGTATTCAGCCTGTGCCTTGTCTTTTTCTGCTCTTGTTCGACTGGTATTGATTGCTGCCTTCTTGTTTCTTCTTTTCTGAATCTTATCCAGTGTATCAACAGTGATCCATTCTTTGTAATGGTGCTTCTTGTGACCCAGGACCTCATGACATGTTGAAGTGATTGCCTCTTTGATCCCCTTCCAGTTGCTCTCCACAGTAGTTCCTTCTCCATTGAGTAGATCATGAATAAGGGAGATAGTAATTAATAGACAGGACATAATTCAACAATGGTAAATCGTATAATAATAGTTCATAGGTTAAAATAAAGCTCATAATAAGAGGGACATGAATATGAACAGTTTAGTTGCATGACATTTATACGATAAAAATATACTCATAATATTGGTCCATAAATGGATCCCAAAAATTACCATTCATTATTCTTATCGGGACATAACAATGATGATAATGATGTGATTTCGTTATTAAACGTGAAAAGTGTTTGTGATAAATCTTGTTAATTTGACTGTTTTATTCGGTTTCTAAGCGATTCTGGTAACCCACAAGCTAGAACTATACAGCGACCTGAACTCGAGAGAAAAAGCGTAAAATAAGCGAAAAGCACTTTACTCCAAAGGTTCATTTTTATAAACACGAGTATTTATAAATGTTAACATTTGTTAAATCAACATTATATTTTGGTCAATTCTCTAAAAGAAATAATATACTACTGACCAATAGTAGCACGCCACGTTGATATTCTAGAAAACTCCATCATGCTCTAATCGGCTAGGACTCATCGGCTCCTTTGAGGCCTCTGGACGCTCCGTTGCCGTTCTCGGAAAGCCGACTGAACAGTTTAAAATTTCATTGATTCATTGATTAGAAAATTATATAGATGAGTTATTTTCGTGAAGTTGTCTTCATCAATAAATTTGGAAAGAAATCATCTAAAGTTTTCACATACTCACATACACAGTAAGGTAGTTGTGAGAATAAAGAATGGCATCAGTAAATCATGGAACAAGAAATACACATGTTATTTGTTCAAAAGTGATAATCATTATCCTCGAATGTCTTATAATTACTTGAACATATTCAAAGTGTAATTTTTTAGACGAGTCAGGAAAACAAAAGTGATCTGAAAGAATTTGTGAAGTTTTCATTTCAGAAGTTGTATACTTTTATTAAACACAGTAATTGATGGGACAGTCCGTTAGTCAGTCAGCTACAATGTAGGACCAGGCACATATATGTATCGGTCCAAGTTGCTACACCTCATTAGCACAACAAGATGAACATTAAATTCATAGAAGTAGTAACGTCAATGGTAGTAATATTACGTATTATGATATGATACAGGGAGAAAGAATTAGTTCGTAGAAAGAAAGATGTGAATTCATTTTAATTTCATAGTTTAAGAGAAGACAGAGAGTGTACACATCTATGCTATTGTGAGCGATTCTGAGTCATGTCACCCAGTTTCGAATCATTATTGGTGATAGTCCCGCATTGACGGGTCACTGATGACCAACGTCGTTCTTGATCAGTCTTCTATACTTATCTAATTGTTTCAAATAAATTATAAACTGGACACTGGTCTGACTGACTTGACATCGGCCATACTATATTTCAGTGTTAAATACTGGGAGGTAGTCCTCAGGAAATCCCAATTCACGTGTTATTCGCTATTTTGCACTTGTCAGCAAGGACTGAAAAGTTCAACACTAACCTCTCAAACTATAAACGTAGATTACGCCTGTTTGAATTCTTTAAAAAAACCCAATTCTTTTAAGATTACTTGTATAGCTTGCTAATGAATGTTAACTAGAAAGAGATCCAGACCCAGGGTTTCTTATTGGCGATCTCCAAATATTCGACATTTACAAACAACTATATGATTAACCAGTCAGAATATTTATTATCACTCTAAGACTTGAAGATCTATAATTCAAACTCTTGTATTACCATGTATACAAACGGTTAACAAGTCCATTGTTTCTTGGTTTTCACCTATTGTCTAAGCTCAATACCCGATGAAATCCATAAAATTCAACAATCTCCGTAAACCCTTACACTAGTAACTCTGTATGCATTATTCAGATTTGTATACAAAATAACCTAGCTAAGTATTATTGGAGATTTATAGTTCTTCAAGTGTTCTGATTCAGAATTTTATATAGGTGTTGACGTATATTATCAGTTACAGTGATAAGAGTTCCCTAAGGGATAACCTTTATCTTTAAGAAGAATTTTATAATGGAACAAATACTGAAGGTTTTGTAACTTGTGCTCTCGAATTATAATTAATTATAGTCTGATAGTATAATTACTGAGGCACCAGGCTATATGTATACGATAATGATCTTTGAAAGCATTTATCCTACTTGTGAGTAGTTTAAAAAGTATGTCAGAACGGGTTTTGTGGAGAGTTTTAGAAATTTCACAAGTTGAAATCATGAGTCAGTTGAAGCTAGACCACCATTGAAAACCTGGAAGCACTGGACGGCCGTTTCGTCCTGGTATGGGACTCCTCAGCAGTGCGCATCCACGATCCCGCACCACGCGGGGCCCGAACCCAGGACCTACTGGCTTCGCGCGCGAGCACTTAACCACTAGACCACTGAGCCGGCATCCAACGGTGTTAATGTCTAACTTCAACCAATCCACGAAGTTGCGCCACCGTACACCATTGTCTTCAGTGAGTTGTTATCTCACAACAGACCGGTTGAACTCCACTGGTAACGGCTTCTCACTAGAACTCCAGAAGTTTTTCCTGAAGTCAGTCACTAGTGAGCAGTTGATTATTATCAGAATGGGTTTTGTGGAGAGTTTTAGAAATTTCACAAGTTGAAATCATGAGTCAGTTGAAGCTAGACCACCATTGAAAACCTGGAAGCACTGGACGGCCGTTTCGTCCTGGTATGACTGACTTCAGGAAAAACTTCTGGAGTTCTAGTGAGAAGCCGTTACCAGTGGAGTTCAACCGGTCTGTTGTGAGATAACAACTCACTGAAGACAATGGTGTACGGTGGCGCAACTTCGTGGATTGGTTGAAGTTAGACATTAACACCGTTGGATGCCGGCTCAGTGGTCTAGTGGTTAAGTGCTCACGCGCGAAGCCAGTAGGTCCTGGGTTCGAGCCCCGCGTGGTGCGGGATCGTGGATGCGCACTGCTGAGGAGTCCCATACCAGGACGAAACGGCCGTCCAGTGCTTCCAGGTTTTCAATGGTGGTCTAGCTTCAACTGACTCATGATTTCAACTTGTGAAATTTTTAAAAAGTATGTGTCAAAACAAATTGCTGATTGTATGATTTTGATTGGTATCATGAATGGATCAATGTTAGACAACCATTGAAAACCTAGAAGCACTGGATGGCCGTTTCGTCCTAGTACGGGGCTCACCAGCAGTGTTCATGCACGATCTGGCGCTGGGGGCTCGAACCCAGGATCTTCGGTTTCTCTTCCGAATTTCCAATGGTGGTCTGACATTGGTCCATTTATGATACCAATCTAAACTTAACAATTTGCACAACCCTATACTGAGAATAAGCTTTACCCTATGAATATTCATTAGGGTTATCGGATATTCCAAGTGGTTTATTCGAGGTTAAAAGGCTGAACTTTGACTGGTAAACGCCAAATACAATAAGGTACATAATTTAATTTCTAATACCATTCTCATTCTAAAGACGAACTGTTATTTTCATTGCTAGCTGATGTTAGTTGTATAAATTCTGAACTCAAGGAGACAATAAACAGATATATCTTCTTTGTTTGTGACTGCTTAGTAATAAACAACTTTAATCCAACATTGAACGAACCACTGAACCCAAGGGTTTGAAGAACATATGATACAGCTACATCATCGGACTGTATACTCAAATCTGGATTTATGATAAGTGTTATTGATGACACAGGCTTATTGTCGAGCTGGACCGCTAACCAACTGAACTTGCATATATGAACATTTTAGTATTGTTATATTCTCTTAGGTAAAATGTCCTAATTATGGAGCTTTCAGTGTCTCTTTTCGGCACTATCATGAACACATACTTCAAGTTGGGGCGGGTGTAGTAATTTTTTTGTAAATATTAAATTAATCGAATCTAGTGATGCTAGCGGGACATAGATTAGATTAAAGCATCCTCCATGCACGCTGATTGGATGATCATTATCTAATCAGAGCTAGTCGATACTTGGAGAACACTCTAGAATCTTATCATGTAAAAACTATAAATATACTAACGTTTTTCTTATTGTGCTTTTTACTTCCATCTAACCTTGATATTTGGAATATAATCTCTTTCCTGTTCAACCGTGTTCTGATTTGGGGACTTGTCAATTGAATTAGTGTCCAAGAATACTAAGCAATAAGAATAGCTAGGTTGTAATAAGAAAGAATTGCAACAAGTGAACTTTTGACTTCCTACTGGGGAGTAGATATTATGTTCACATGGATGAATCAATGTTCTCAGTCCTGTTTACATGAGTTCATAATGATGAGAACTTTTACATCACAACAGATGAATCAATCATCTGTTGTTTTCTTATCAGTCAGTCAGTCAGTAACAACGTATAACTTCGTACGTACGTACATCAGTTCGATTTGACATACCATATTAGCACAGAGATGCAGCTGTCGATTCAAATCTCGTAATGGTAGAGGTAGTAAGAATATGAGCAGTAATCGGAAAGATTAGGGTCTGAAGATGTTATTCAGTGGGTATATTCTAGCGAAACAAATTTGGAAAGAGAAAAACAAGAGACAAGGAGAATTCAGAAGATTAAAATTTGAGAGAACACAAAGAGTGTATGCACCTGCTCTAGTACAAACGATTTTGAGCCATGTCATCCAAGGTCTCTAACCATCGGTTGCTATCGTCTCGCGGATCCCAACCCGGTAGTCTACATCTACCAACATGGCTCAGTCCACTTGTCAGTGACTTCATGGATTTGTGCTATGTTTTGATCTGGCCGCCCCCATCTTTCTTCCAACCTACTCTTACACCATAAAACATCGCACGTCGAAGTGATCGGTGGTTGGGCACACGTAACACGTATCCCAGCCATCTCAACTGATGAAGTATCACTACTTCATCAATTGATTTGACATCCTTAAATAGTACCCGCTTTCTAACAACTGGATTACTTACTCGGTGTTCCCACGATATACAAGCAATGTTTCGAAGACACCAATGATCAAATACTAGTAACCTACGAATATCCTCTACTGTTACCGGCCATGTTTCACTGCCATAAAGTAGGACGGAGCGAATGGCTGAGTACTAAACCTATCCTTTGGTTCTATAGATGTGTATCAAACTATTACTTACCTTAATATTATCGTAATTAACTTGTATATTTTATAATTTTTCAATTTTTTTCTTTTAGATTTAAAACTTGGTCTATTTTAAGTCTTACTTTTCATGGAACACAAATGAATCAAATTCCAATTATGTGTTCATTAGAAAACCAGCATGATTACATACTAGACAATAACAATAATAATGATAATAATAATAATAATGCCAATATTATTCAATCCAACAAAACTTCTAATTTTAGAAATACATCACTTAGATCTAATATAATCACTATTCATCTTTTGTGTAAGTTTACTTTTGGTAACATTTTTAATGTTTAATTGAGTATGAAAGTGCCATAGGTATTTGGAGTTTGACAACGGTTCAACCAGTAACACCTATTATGAATCGCATCCATTTAGTGTAATCAAACGTCAAAAGTGAGGAGGTTCAAAGTTATAATTGATAAGTTATCAATATATCAAGAAGTGATTGATCTAAACTAGCTAGCGATTGTATGAAAAGTTGAGTATTGCGTTCTCACTTGTGATCTGGTTCGGATGCGTGATCAAGCGCCTTCATCTAGGTGAATTCATTAAAATCATTGTGGTCATTATCAAATGTCTAAGACTTGGAAAGCTATTGATTTTGTGGATTTATTTACTGCTACCAGTATTCTGAATTCAACATTTATCACCATTATCCCATTGATTTAGTAGGTGAATGTTAAATATTGAAGTAGACACTTTGTTGGAAATCGCACTTCGAATGTCGAAATTTATCCACGACTGTCTACAATAAATATAGCATTGTAACATTGTGGATGAAATGCTGAAGTATAAAGATCTATTGAAGCCTGTAAAACGATTGATGTTAGACACAGCGCACTTATTGAATCCTAAAAAAATATTGCTGTAGATATACAAATTTGTCCATTCTCTTCTGTGTAAGGATGAGTTTAGTGTAATCTGTCACCAGCTAAATTTACATAGATAATAGGAAACAGAAATAAGCTACTTATAGGTTTACAAGTCTCGAATATTTAAACAAAGTTTTAAACACTGGCAATGACTTTTACTGTTTAGTTAGGTTCGGATTTTTATTAGTTCGTATATATAGTAGATATAACTAGTGGTCAAGTAGAAAGTTGGTTAAATAGTTATTATTTTGATATAATGTTACATTCATTTTGCGTCCAAGTATAGATCATTATTAAATGAGTCATTAACCATAACTGAAAGATCTAGCATCCAATAATCATGGACAAATAGAACCAGACTCAAGATTCAATATTCATCCTTAATATCGGAGATAATTGTGGTATTGCATTGTAGTCATTAGTTAGTATTAAACGATTCATTTACCATAATACCACTATAGATATCTCAGAAGTATATGTTATACTTAAGCAATAAGTAGTGTTAATTCCCAAAGGATGTTGAAAAACTTACATTAGAGTAGTTGAGTCAATACTTGACATAACAAGATATTTAATTTGTTTTCATTACTTATGGACTGATATTTATTCATCATTCAAAGAATCTCTTACTGAAACATCATACTCATGTACAAAGAAGTCCTGTTCAACCAAGATACAAACCAGATCTTGATTTGTTTGAACATCAAAAGAGATATAGTGCAATATTTCGAAGACCAGTCTGTTTGAAAACTCCTTCAAACGATACTGTATTCAGTTGTAGTACAAGTACAGTATAGACAATATGATTATCTCATCGGATTATTCAAAACATCCAGAGAATAGTAATAATGTTGTAAACGTATGTTTAGTATTGTTCAAGTAAAATCCATCAAATTAGGGTTACTGACATCTGGTAAAGTAAATTTTAATGATATGAATATCTTTCAGTTTCAGTAAACGTTTTCTATTCAATTGTGGATAAATTTCAAATTACAAGCACTTAATCTTCAAGTTTTTCTAATCATTATTGATTTCATGGGAATGGCCAGTTCGCAAATGTTTTTTTTTAAATAATCAATGTCATTTGATAAACCAATATAAACCAGAAACACAATGAATATTCATTGAATTCTTAGCAGTTTCACCAACATTAAACTAAAGATTTCAATCAACTGACGTTGAACTACTTATTATAATTTCAGTAGTTCAACAATGACTTAGTTATGAAAACGTGATTTCTTACTGATATGATAGGTGAAAAATAAACTTAATTATCAGGCATTAACTTCAAGTGTTGATGAATGATTCATAAATCTTATCCATATAACTGGTTATTGCAACAGAGTAAAAAGATTTAACTGTCGATAAACGATAAAGCCGAAAGACTATTTTATTGTTCATCGTTATTGATACTTCATTATAATTGTATATGCGACGTAGTTTCTGGTTGAGACACGATTGTTCAACACTGTTCAAATGCTCACAGAATTGTGTGGATTGATCTAAGAAGGAAAGATGTGATGATCTAAATATAAATTTGTGTACAAATAAGTTAAAAACGATCTTCCAGTGCACATATTTCTATAGAGATTGTTAACATTAATCAATGGTTTGATTCAAATAACTTTAACTGACCAACACTATCCATCGTTCATTAAATAACTTCCCATGTGAACATGGCTTATAGGTATCATGCTAGCGGAATGCCACAACCAGCATATTTCGTTAACAAAGTTTTAAGGTGGTGGTTAGAGGTAGTCGATAGGAAATCATGGAAAATTGTTTCGTTCTATTTGGCACTCGTTCATAAGGTGTATCAATAATCTTGAGGGAACTGATGCTCCCTGACAGATTCGATCCGTATCATCCAGTTTCGCATTTAGGGGCGGTATCGCTGACCTATCGGGGCCGTAACTGATCTCCTGTAGGACTGATATATATTTGAAGGGGCTGGTACTATGTCAATCCCACACAGGTCATTCTAGCCTCTGGACTGACCACTTTGTTCATTCTTCACAAGACACATTTCAACCCTGTGACTTATTTTCTTAATAAACCTCATTGTTTTTCTACGTGGTCATATGTATGTCATTTACTTACCCTGTTCATCATGTGTCTGTATTTTATTTTTTCGGCCGTAAATATCGAGTCATGCTTACTTAAATCTAGTTAGCTCACTTGCCTTCTCCACTGCGCGTCACTTCATTTCGCTTCACCCTTTTCTCTTTGCTTCGTTTCCCTGACTGTCTGTCCAGAACATTGTTTGTACAAAATATACGTATTCGAAATTTGTTCTCATATTTTGCTTATTTAATCCCGTCATTCACTAACGCGATTTAAATCTATATTTATCTACGAGGGTAGCCGGGATGTATATTTCAACAACAATCAGCGTACGATCCGATTGAAGTAAGGTATCGGGTCACTAAAAGTGGTGAGCCTGTCAAAAACATCATCGTGTAATCTAATTAGTGTCAATATAAAGGACCACACAAAAGTGACATATCCGAAGACGAACCTAACGATTCAAACTAAGTCGATGAAGAACCTTGCGCATTTCATACGTTCCACGAATGAACTCAATACAGCTTACTCAATCGATAAACATAAATCATACGATCAAATCGAAGAGATCACATCACCCCGGTAGCTCAGATATAACGTCTCTATATGCAAAACTGGATGATAAAGATCAAATTCGTCAGGGAGCATCAGTTCCCTCAAGGTTATTGATACACCTTATGGACGAGTGCCAAATAGAACAAAACAATTGTCCAGAATTTCCTATCGACTACCTTTAACCATCATCTTACATCTCAAAATGATAAATGCTATATTTAATCTCTTGGACTAGTGGCTACATTGTAAATTGATCAATAGACTTCAAACCGCTATAAGCAGGATTTGACATATATGACACTGGCCACTACGCAGCGATCAATCAATTGTAAAAAAGTTATACTTCATCTAATACCTATTTTCATCCTGTTTTTTAATTAGTTTAGTCTTTTACTGAAGATTAGCAAAAAGAGTTATTATCCTCATTCGTGAAATCTGCTTCTCTTCTTCTTCTCTATTCAAGTTTTCAATGAAATCTTGAACTATTTATTTGAACTGTGATAAGAGTCTGTTATATCACGATAAGAATAATGAATAGTAACTTTTGGGATCCATTTATGCACCAATACTATACGTATACTTTTATCGTATAACTGTTAAGTAACTAAACTATCCATATTCGTGTCCTTCTTATTATGGGCTTTAGTTTGATCTATAAATTGTTATTATACGACTTACCGTTCTTGAGTTATACCCAGTCTATTAATTACTATCAACCTTATTCACCGCCACATTTGGATAAATCTTGTACAAATGTTGTTTCCTATTTTATGGTGCGGTGTGGTCTGGCTGGTTGGTATATAAACCCAGTATGTTTGAAATAAGGGATTGATATCGCAGAGGCTGAGATTGGTGTTCTGGACTTAACTGGCTGGGCTAGTCAGGAAGCAGGACCGATAAGTTTTCTAGACTGCCTGCACGTGTTTTATGCGTCGTTCGTCGGATCGATAATTCACTTCTCTCTAATTGGCAGTATCATCACGTTATTCATTACCAGGGCATACAGGCCACAAGTTCTAACAGAGTCATATTTGACAATGGCATGATTAATTATCAAACAAAATTAGTCTCTGCATTATACAAAGACAACTACTTTACAATAGTGTACTTTTTATAAAACTTCATGCATTCTCCTTAATTATCAAATCCATTTATCGAAATCTTTGATACCTTTTAAACAAATTTCAAGCTGGATTACTTATTTTAGCTAGTTTTAGTTTCAATATCATTTACTTGATGACAGTTAAGAATACTCAGAATAGATTAAATAATATTATGATGAAATTCTCGAGTATCAGCCTCGTGGTTCCCGAAGGAACTCGGCTTTCACCATGAGGCGTCATAACTCTTCTAAGTGAAGACCTTCTGACTCCCAGGGCAGAGTTTAAGTGGTTTGAATTATTTTTTCTGGTTAGCGTTTTTGTAACGTGTTAGTTCTCTACGGGATGGGGTTGCTAATCCCATGCCCAACCCTCCTCCATTATCCGGGCTTAGAACCGGCATTAGCCCCAGAGGGGCTCCAGGCAAAATTACAATCATTAATGTTCCTATGAAATAGCTTTTTCATCTCTATATGTATTTAATGTATCAGTTCTATGGTAGTTCCTACATATAATGGAGATGTAGAAAAGTATGTGAACCATTGTCGTCATGTAAGGTTTAGTTAGAAAATACTTTATGTTCTGTGGGAGCATACAGAGTAGCGTTACTGTAAAGAGCTGTAAAAAGAGAATTGCGAAAGTAAAGGTGATTTGATAACCCAATAAGAGAATTAACTGTACTTACATTAAACAAGGAAGGTAATGGACAATAATAAGTAATCATATAAGACAATCAGGAAATCGAATTGAAGAGCAAACAGATTACAGTGATATTCCTCAAACATTTCCATAAACAGATTTGCAAGAGCTTATAAAGTAACCTTTTTGTAACCAGAGATACATGTTTAGAAGTATAAGATCGTTTGGGAAATTTGACAAGAATCCCCATTATTAGTTTGTTTATTAATAGTAATGTTAAAGAAAACTATTGATTGTTCTAGTTCTGTTCATGTTGGAAATTCATTTTTATTTCAGATATTGATAAAGTGTATATAGAAATCTATTCAAATCTAAAAACAATGTTTACTTCATCTATTGAACATTCAATGATATTCATAGAGAATCGTCCAATTCAACTTGGATGTTTTTGTGAAAAGATTAATGTACCTATTCATGTAAATTATGAATACACGTGAGTTATAGATTATCTACTATTGTTTCTTGTCAATATCATTACTACTGATGAAGATAATATAAGTAGTTAAATATTGACAGAAGTTATTATTATCAGATGGGTTTTTGTGGAGATTGTAGTAATTTCAATGGTTAAGATCATGAGTCAGTTGAAGCTAGACCAGCATGGAAAACCTGGAAGCACTGGACGGCCGTTTCGTCCTATTGTGGGACTCCTCAGCAGTGCGCATCCACGACTTCGCCCCCCGAGAGATCCGAACCCAGGACCTACTGGTTTCGCGCCCGAGCACTTAACCACTAAACCACTGAGCCGGCATCCAACAGTGTTAATGTCTAACTTCAACTAATCCACGAAATTGAGGTCCTGGGTTCGAATCTCGCAGGGGTGCGGGATCGTGGATGCGCACTGCTGAGGAGTCCCACAATAGGACGAAACGGCCGTCCAGTGCTTCCAGGTTTTCCATGGTGGTCTAGCTTCAACTGACTCATGATCTTAACCATAGAAGTTATTATTATCAGAAGAGATTTTGTGGAGATTTTTAGAAATTTCAATAGTTGAAATCATGAATCAATTGAAGCTAGACCAACATGCAAAATATGGGAGCACTGAACGACCATTTCGTCCTAGTATAAGACTTCTTAGCAGTGCACATCCACGATCCCGCCCCCCGTGAGATTCGAACCTAGGACCTATCGGTCACGATTAGACCACTGAGCCGGCTCTGATCTCTAGTGACTGACTTCAAGAGGCATTTTTTGGAGTTCTAGTGAGAAGCCGTTACCAGTGGAGTTCAACCAGGCCTGTTGTGAGATGTCAACTCATTGAATACAATAGTGTACGGTGGCGCAACTTCGTGGATTGGTTGAAGTTAGATATTAACAGCGTTGGATCCCGGCCAACTTAATGGTCTTGAGTTTAAGCGCTCGTGCGCGAGAGTGATAGGTCCTGGATCCGAATCTCGTGACCGTGGTTTCTCACTGCTGAGGAGCCCCACAATGGTTTTCCATGTTGGTCTAGCTTTAATTGACTCATGATTTCAACTATAGAAGTTAATATTATTGATTAAAAGTAACAGGAATGTAAGAGATAATTATCAATGATCAACATGGATATCATTTTATCCATCCATTGTAAATTCAATTAGTTTATGTTGTTAAACTTTTGAAGAAACATCTCATTCATGATATCTCAATGGAATTCCATAAAATGAAGCTTATCACATAGTACTTCAATGGTGTATGGTACTTATATTGACATAAGTAGTATATAACGCGAGTCAGAAATATAATGTCTGACAGCAGAAGATTGAAAAGATCAAGAAGGGAAGAATGAGAATAGAAAGTAATTGGTATGAAAGTGCAGGAACAACGAATCCTGAGACAATTAATGAACATTTTACAAATTAAGTATTACACTATGGTCTTTCTATTTTACTAAGTCTTCAGTGAGTGACTATCTCACAACATTACCGTTTCCACTCCACTGATCACTGCTTTTCACTACAACTCCAAGGAATACCTCCTGAATCCAGTCACTAGTGAGCATATGTTGATTAATATCAGAAAGGGGTTTTGTGAATATTATGGTAATTTTAATAGTTGAGATCATGAATCAATTAAACCTAGACCACCATGAAAGACCTGAAAGTACTGGACAGCCGTTTCGTTCTATTGTGGAGCTCCTCAGCAGTGAGCATCTACGATTCCGCCACATGAGCTGTAAACTCAGGACCTATTACTCTCGCGTGTGAGTGCTTAACCTCAAGACCACTAAACTGTGTAGCATCCAACGGTGTTAATATCTAACTTCAACCAATTCATGAAGCTGCTCCACTGTCCAGGATTGTTATCAGTGAGTTACTATCTCATAACTTTTCAATAAACTAAGCACTTGATTGAAATCCTTCAATATTTTGTATGTCTTTTTCACCGGTTATTTTGTAATTACAGATTTTTTATTCAAATGTCAAATAATACTAATCATAATGATACATTATTCAATATAAGTTCATTATCAACTATTCATCAAATCAATACTCATTCTCATAACGCTGTTTTATCATCTGAAATCCCTTCAAAATTAATGATATTACATCATCAATTGAAATATCATATTATAGAATTTGTACCACATCGAAAATTTCATAAAGGAAGAATCTATTGTCAAATATTGATTAGAATGAAGAAAGATACAATCAATAAAATTGATTCGATTGTATCTGAGACATCATCTGTGGCATCATTGGGAAGTTGGAGAAACCAAATTTATGGTGTTCATGATGATATAGAAGATGGTTCTGTAGATGATCCAGTAATGATTTCTTCAATGGGTCATATTGATTTAAATATTCATTGTAAGTCAAATAGCAAATTAAGTATATATATATATATATATATATATATATATATATATATATATATATATATATATATATATATATATATATATATATATATATATATATATATATATATATAGGATGTTTGATTTACTTTAGAATGGTTCGCATTGTCCTGTTGTTGATCCTTTTGACTGAAATTTGATCAGCTTTGATTGGCATATGTAAACATCAAATTAGTCATGAATCTACTTTCAGTTGTTGAATCTTAGTTAGAGTGAAACGTGTGTTGTTGATTCGACTATTAACAGCATTCCATGTTTTCTATATATGATGCTAAATTTCGAAGTTTCTCGAGATTAGATTTACTCAAAATAAAAGATGTGCATCATGAATTGTTGTCAGCTAGATAACCTTTGAATATTAATAGTTACTATACAGCTTTTTCGTCCTGTTTTAGGATTCATCAATAGTTTATATCCATGAACTCGCAACAGTTTAAACCCTGGACTGTCATATCTTGTGTAAAGCATATGTAATATTTTCATTGCAATTGAAATAATACTGTTTTAACTTTTCGTTAAAGTACATATCAGTTAACCTATGATTACGTATTTCGTGTATAATTCATACATGTACTTAAAATAAAACAGTTAAACAAGCCGAAGTGTAAACTATTCGACATGATCAGTATAGGATTGTGAAGATTATTAAGTTTTTGACTGAGATCATGAATCGATTGATTTTAAACCACCATTGAAAACCTTGGAAGCATTGGACGGTCATTTCGTCCTAATGTGGGACTCTACAGCAGTGCACATCCACAATTCTGCCTTCTGAGATTCGAACCCAGCAACTATTGTTTAAATTGTATAAATTCTAATCTTTTGTTATAGATGGACCAAATATAGATAATCGAGACGATGAGTTTTATATACTGTACCCTTGTTCAATATTTGGAAAGACATTGAAAATGCTCTGTTGGACAAAATCTACAAATGATCTGTATATAACACAAGACATAACATTATGGGTAAGTGAAATGTAGAAAATTAAAGGTTTCTTGTTAATATAAGCTTAGTTGAAATGATTTTGAGTTGATTAATTCTATTCATGAGTTGTATTGCCAAGGATTAATCTCAGATGAATTAACGTTGAACGGTCGTTTCTTTATAGTACACAACTCTTTATGAATGAACACCTATGGACACACCAAGGATTGAACCTTAAACCATCAGTTTATGTAACGAGCTCTTAATCACTACAATTAATGGTTCGGTGTTTAGTGGTAAAATTCCAAGTTCAATCAACAGCTCAACTATAATGCAATATCAATTTCTAAAATGCTTATACTAGGCATTACAGAAAATATTAGTTGACATGGTTTGATTTGTAGCTCAGGTAGATGATTTTGATGGAGTTTTGTTCTCTGAGCTAGATGGTTTGGTCGTGGAGCTTTCATCGTTTTTCTAAACGAAATCATCATCACAAACTTTAGATAGAAGTGAAGTATTCGAATTTCCCCATATGCGTTCCGCAGCTTTTCCTGTACACCTCGATGTTGATTGGTTCTTATTGACCTTAAATTTGTCATTCTTCACTTGTATTATTTAAACTTGGATTGATTTTGACTTGATTATTTATTCTCTGAAGAAGTGACTTACACTGAGTCACGAAACATCAGAATATGTGATTTTCCTACTCATTGAGATATATTATTTTTATTTATAACAATCTACCCAGTAATTAAATGATTGAATTCATGGGTAAACTGAAACTAGACCACCATGGAAATCCTGGAAGCCATGGACGGCCGTTTCATCCTAGTATGGAACTCGTGGATGCACACTACCTAGGAGTCCCATACTACGACGAAATGGCTGTCCAGTGCTTCTAGGTTTTCCATGGTGCTCTAGCTTCAATTGAATCATAAATTCAATTATTAAGTTATTACATTCTTCACAAGACTCCTCTCTGATTATAATCTATCCGGTGCTTAATTTATTTGAAATTATCAAGTCAAACCATGATAATGATACCTACTGATCTTGAGTGCTGTTAGAGATATGAGGGTAGTTATCACTTGCCGGTTGCTCATACCGTGGAGGGATTCTTCGGGAGGTACCTAAATAGAAAATTGGGTTAGAGGTGGTCTTATTGACCTGAAAGCATGACTGCAATACCCAAGGAACAACTGCTTGAGGTCGGTTATACATCACTTTTTTATGAGCAATTTTCATGTTATATCCGTACTTATTGGAATCTTACCATCGGAGACAGATAAGGCAGGATGTGCATTTTTACGGTTGACCTTTTCTAACCTACACATTCATTTCTTCTTTCATTTTATTATTAGTGTCAAACAGATTTTAATCCATCTGGTCAAATTGAATGGTTTACATGGAAATCAAATGATACACAAGTTTATTTATCAAATGGTTCTAATTTACAACTTAACTTGAATCAACTACAATCTTCATTAGAAATGATTACAGTGAATTCAAAGAATTTATGGATTATTGATAAACAATATTTCAAAGATCATGAAAATTATCTTGATATAGATGATCTCATGAAATTGAAAAATGTTAATTTTCATATTCATTTATGGAAATTCACATGTATAGCTAGTTCAGTGGGATTTGATAGTCAGTCAGCAAATAGATTTATCATTCAAGCAGGTATGAATATGTTTATTTGTATCTTTTCACTGTTGTTTAGAACTGTAATTGATCAGTCTCATATTGACATATGTGCATCTTGTATGGACTGTTTCGATATTGCCTTCAGTCACATGTATTATAAGTAAAGTAGTGCAATCCAGGACGCGCGTTTATTCGTATTTGTGACTCGTTAGCTGAATGTACCTGCCATATTTCAGAAATTGATATTCACTCCAAGATTTGTATTTCGTTTCATTCGCTTCAAATACCGTCGTATTATCTAACCAATCAGGCAGTGAATTCAGATAGCCACTAGTTTGTGCCTAGATATTGGGAATTTGGACAGGATGCACATATGTCGTCAGGAATTGATCAATCATAGTCCTAAACATTGATGGGAAGGTTCAAACAACGAATACGTATGAAATTTCAGTGGTTGAAATCATGGGTCAATTGAAGCTAGACCACCATGGAAAACCTGAAAGCACTTGACAGGCATTTCGTCCTAGTATGGGACTCTTCAGCAGTGGGCATCTATGATCCCTTCTGATAATACATATGAATTAAAATTTCGAAAAAATTACACTAGTTAGAACCTACTTTAATAGTTAATAAAGCGTAATTAGATCCTTTGTATAATGTTTCTCTAAGGTATATTTATTCAAAACTGATTCATAGAAAATTCAGTTTCAAGTGTATTTTTGACAAACTTATAAGTTTAAAGTCAAATAAATTGGATGAGGTTATTTCTACATTTAACTGATTACTGGGTGTATATCAGGTCTTTTTTAGTGCAGATCGAATTCTATCGACCAAGCTGCAATATAGCTACTAGTCTATGTGACTTGATATTACGTGCACTATGTTGAGATAAAATGGTGGTTGGAGGTAGTCGACAAGCAACCCTAGAACAAAGTTTCATGCTACTTGGCATTCGTCAGCAAGGTGTACCTGTAATCTTGAGGAAACTGATGCTCCCTGAAGGATTCAATCCGGATTTTTAGATAACAGTCTATAGAGTACCAATGATTCAGGTAGGATTTTGTTTAGCAGTAACTAACTGACTCGGTGACGAATTATTCAGTGGTTCTCAGGAACAATAAATTCAGCAATACACTAACTTATTAATATGAGGACTTCAGTCCTATTGATGCGATAGACGTTGTTAATAATTGCTGAATTAATGTATTTTCAGGGAATCTCCATACTCCATCCTTTGTCCATGCAGAAAACTCGTTACATATCATTTGATAGAGTTCATGATGTTTAGTGTGGCTGGATGGTGGTCTTCTGATGAATTAATTATCGAATAAAATTTAACACATTTCATTCCTCAAGGCAAACTAATATATCATGATATTTGAGAGGTGAGATAATAATATTATCTAATAGATTTGAACTAGATTGACCTTATCTCACCATATTGTCTATGTGTATTGTAGTAGGCAAGTTAGGGTGGACTTGTATGGGAGAGGATATGAGTGAGTGAGTCTAAACCAATAGACTGAACAGCTTTGCATTAATTCAAACATCGAATTGCAAATAACAAGCATTCGTTTATTTGTACAGGTTAGTTGAATAATACATAACATCCATTGACTAACTGACTAACTAATTCTGTTTGACCCATTTAGATAAGTAAATGATGTTTATACTCATGAGAATAACATGATTTCAGAAGGGGCTTTGTGGATATAATGGTAATTTCTGATGGTTGATATCATAAGTGAACTAAAGCTAGATCACCATGCAAGACCTGGAAGCACTGAACAGCCGTTTATTCTCACTGTGTGACTCCTCAGCAGTGTGCATCTACAACCCGCCTTATGGGATTCGAACCAAGGACTTATCAGTCTCGCGCCCAAGCACTTAACGATTACACCCCTGAGCTAACATTTAACGGTGTTAATGTCTAAATTCAACTAATCCACGAAATTGAGTGACACATTCACCATTGTCTTCATTGAGTTACTATCTTACAACAGATCTGGTTGAACTCCACTGGCCACTACTTCTCACTAGAACTCCATAACTTAATTATCAGTTACAGTAAAGAATATTTTTATTTTCTGTAAATAACCAACAAAAAGTTTGTCATTTACATCATTCTATAATTTCAAATGTTGGTGGTTTACTAATTGCTCTTTTCATAAGGATACATTAGCACACACATTTAGATTGATCAGCTAGAATTCAGGCTAATATTACATCTCTTCAGAAGTTGATGGATTTCACTTCACATCTACATATCATCATCACCAGTCAGTGAAATAATTGTGGAAAGTATCGATAATCAGTTTGTATTAAACAGTGATTTCTTCTTTGTCTGCTAGTTAATCAGTAGTCAGAGATATGAAATCCACATATTTACTTCTCGATGTCATTGAGTTAGAATCTATAGATTTCATTCAGTAAACAGAAATAATTCTCTAGACATGTTTCAGATATTTGAGAACTCAGAACCTTGGTTTCAATGTTTGAAGTTGAACTTTTCTGGTATCGAATGGAGTGGTTAATGGACTGTATTCACATTTCCTGAAACATTTTTTCCGAGAGGAATAGTGGCGTTTATAATATTTATTGTTATAATGAGTTATTCTCAACCATTGCTAATGCTTTATCTACTTTTGTGCATTTCTTAAATTTTCGTCTAAACACAACAGTTTTTATATCTATGAACTCTTTGTTCTCATTTTAGTTGTTGATAAACTGTTGTTAACACTAGTCATAGCTACTAGCTGTCATTTACGCCATCGTATGTTGTAATTACATTTTATGTTATCATTACTGTAGATCTTTCCCTGTTCAGACATATAGACATGTTAATTGCATCAACCATTTACTCATGTGCTCACTAGTGACTAGCTTCGTGAAGAAATTCTCGGAGTTCCAAAAAGAAGCTGTGACCGGTAGATCTAATCCGTGTCAGGTATAGATAGGTTTCTCCCTCAAACAATGGAAGATGGTCGCACAATTTCGTAGGCTGGTAGAAATTATGACATTAAAACCGTTAGGTACCGGCTGGCTAACTGTTATGCAGGTTAAGTGTTCGCACGCGTGACAGAAGTTCACCGGCTCAAATTCTTTCGAGGCGGGATCATGGATGCACACTGATGAGAACTTCCATACTAGGACGAAACGGCCGTCCAACAAGGAATTGAAAATTTCTTTGTTTATTTATGAAAAGTATGAAACTTTTCAATATAATTTACCGGGTTAAAACATTTTTTTCAATGATTAAACACTTTTTACATATTTTTGGTGTGTAAAATTATCCCTTCTTATCTACAGAAAAACCATTTGTACATAGTAATTCACATGTATATGGAATTCTAGGCAAATCAGTTAATCTTATCTGCAATGTTATCAGTTTTCCGGAACTAAATTTTACCTATCCAGTATGGTTACATAATGATGAATATATTACAATAGAGGATTCATATAGTAGTAATAATGATATAATGACAATGAACTCAACAACTGAAAATTCCCAATTCCCAATTATTCTTACTCAGAATTTTATATCTAAATATAAAATCATTCACAGAAAATATTCAGTCGGATGGATTATTACTTTGCAGATCAATAATTTAGATCTAAATGATGAAGGCGTTTATCAGTGTACATTTTCAAATTTAATGGGATCAAGTTCTTATGAAATAAATTTATATTTAAACCGTAAGTCATTTATTTCTTTTGTTAACAACATTTAACTACTTTCGATTATTAAAGTAGTTCATCTTGTTTAACGAAATTTACAGTGTGGAATACATTCTGATATCTAGAAAGAAATATATGCTACGTGATATAACTCGAGTCTTCTTCAAATATATATACATAAATCATATAATCCGGTGACTTTTACCGCTTTCGGAAACGTTTCATAAACATTGTGAACTATGTTTCAATGAACCAGTCGGAAAAATTTCAAATTTGTTTAAGTAATCCTGTTAAAACACTTAATTCTTTCAGTGAGAAAATCATATATTTTTATGTTGCACCATATTCCAATTGAAAATGTCAGCACTTCACTTGTGTGCCGATCTAACAGACATAAATCCTAGTGATGTCATAGCAGTCGGACATTTTGCCTTGTTATTTATTAAGTTCTAGTTAGTCAGCCATCAGTAATGTAGGATGTAGTACACATGTACATCTATCCACGTTAAACCAGCTCATCAGTACAGATGGATGAAATTATGACGATGAATACTGAAATACATAAAGTACTATCAGTTGTAGTGAATAAAGTCTATTCATTGACGAAAGTAATCGAGAAAAAAGAATGATAATCTTAAAACATATGATCCAACAGGAGACAATCGGTAAACGACTGTGAACTATTGTAATCTGAGTGTGAGCCGTTTCACCGAACGTCCCCGACTATTGTTCACGTTAATTACATGGAATCAAACTACAAATTTTTTATCTATCAATAACCCACAGACCAACAGTCAGTGACACCGTCGACTGATCCCTTAGATTGATTAAAACATTCATATATCTGAGATAAATTCCATCACATCTGCAGTAAAAGATGAATTCTATTGTTAAACTCCTCAATCACTTTCGATTCATTGATGTGACTCAACTACTTAATAGTAAGCTCTGAAAACAATTACTCTATATTATGAAATGATGACATTTAGATATGTAATTATTTGATAAAGGCTCAAGGTCCTAGATTTGATCCTTGATGAGATCATTATTGAGGAGTTACATTTAAAAATGAGATCGCCTTTCATTGTTTCCTGATCTTAAACGAATGTTTAACCAATATGATGATATAAACAAGAAAATTTAACTTATAAATCTAACAATTAGAAAAAATACAATTATTGAATTCATGAGTTAATTGAGGCTAGACCATCATAGAAAATCTTGAATCACTAGACGACCATTTCGTCCTAATATGTTGACTCCTCAGTAGTGTGCATCAACGATCCTGACTCATGAGATTCGAACCCAGGATCTACTAGTCTCATTCACGAGGGTTTAAGCACTAGACCACGAAGATGAAATGACCGTCCAGTGCTTTCAGGTTTTTCATGGTAGTCCAGTTACAAATTAACTCGTTATTAACTAAGATGAACAAAGTCTTATACTTTTCATATTCAATTCTATCATTTTGTTTTAATTTTTTTAGATAGATTGACCAGAAATGAATTTATCATTATGATTGTCAGTTGTGTCATTTCATTACTGACTATTCTTACATTCATTATTGGTTTATTATATATTCAAAGAAAATGTAAATATATTGAATGGTCTAATCATCATTATTTCTGTATAAAATGTAAATTTACATTGAATAGAACAACCTACAATAAAAATGAAAGAAGGTAATGAGAATAAACTTTATTCTTTTGAGCGTGGGGTTATGGGATTACAGTGAATGTTCACAGTGTGAATACTCTTCATATATTTTACTTGTATTTTCCTATTGTTGTTTAGGTCTGTAGTTGATCAGTCTCTTGTTGATATATGTGCATCCTGTGAGGATTGTCCCAATATTGTCTAAAATCACAAGCTTTATAAGCAAAGATGGATATCATGTGATTTTGAACTTCATTCTGTTGCACAAGCGGGCGACAATCAGGATTCAGTAGCTAAGTGGACAACGATTACAGTGAATGTTCACAATTTGTAGTTTATACCATGAACTGGTTTTTGACTAAACAACTATAGTGTGAATTCATTTGGTATTGTTTGTTTGAATAGTCTCATTATTGTTTAGGATTACAACTGATCAGTCTTCTGTTGACGCGTATGTATCCTGTGCGGACTGTCTCAATATTGTCTTCAGCCACAAGATTTATAAGGAAAAATCGATATCAAGCGGTTTTAAACTTCATTCTATTGCACAAGCAGGCGGCTATCAGTTTCAAGTGAACGGTACTGGGTTCGAGTCCCGGAGCGAACATCAACCCAGGTGCAGGTAGATGCAGCTGACGAATCCCATATAGTACGGAACACGCATCCTGGACTCCACTGCTAGCTATTAAACATCTTTGCTTATAAAATTATAGTGTGATTTTTTTGGTTTTTATAATTGAACACTATGTATTCTAAAAATAATACTCTTTTCAAAAGGAACTGGAATATAGAAGTATTTCTGAAAGCCAAACAAGAATTAGTAAACCATAGAGTCCAAATATGCAGATCATTGGAGAAACGTCACCAATGGTGATGAAATCACGTCGCGCTATGTCGAAAATCGACTGAAGTTTATATCATCAACCAAAGAGTGTAATAATACTATTAGCGAAGATTTTAATCATACTGTTGTTGATATTTAAGACTGAAATTTAATCAATCTTTGTTGATATATGTTAATCCTTTAGGGATTGTTTTGATAATGTCATTGCAAAAAATTATTTCGAAAAGCTAATTACAAATAGTTGTGGAGTCTAGGAGTACTATTTCAGAAGTCGTCAGTTGTATGTACATGTATTTCAGAGCAAGTGTTCTCAATGAATAAGTAAGTGACAATCTAAACTCAGACATTCTGTGAATGAAACATTAGTGTTTAGAGAAAAAGGGAATTGGCTCAAGTTCAGATGTCAATAACTGCACTAGGATGCGAGTAGATTCAGCTAGCGAATCCAAAATTGGATGAGACTGGAGTGTTAAATTTTACAAAGTTGTCTAATAGACGTGATGATACATGATTTAATTCCTAAATGTTAAGCAGTAAATACTCGCCACTGTGAAATTTTGTACTAATATAAAACAACTGTTCTGTACAACTTAATCTCTAGTACTTGCCTGACAATGGTCAATCTTTAAAGTGTACGTTAGTAAAGGAATATCATGTATAAAATGTATATCATTTCGTTGTTTCTCTTTTTAATAGATACAATCATAAGACAGTTGGATACTTTGCAGCAGTGGATTTGTCAGAAGTTATACAAAATTCACTTATTGATGATGATCATTTGAATGTAATTAATAATAAAGAAATGAATCTATCACTCAATCAGCCTAATTTGGTAGGTATTTTAAAGAAATATTTTGATCTACTTATATTATTTAAGTAGTTATAAAAATAATAATAAAACTAATGGTATTGTATAGCATAAACTGGATTCGAAGTAAAATGATTGATTAAGAATCTCACATTTTCGATTGAGGAATCAAACCAATTAAGGTAAACATTTTACACATATATCAGGAACTAACTGTAAGATTTAAATTCATCACCAATGGAATAGATGGTTTTGTTGACATTTGATACAAGATTCTTGAACTATTCATCTGTAATGATCGGGGACATAGGCGAGGATAATCAAATCGCTATGAATACAACATTACAGAATCTCTTAATAAAATCTGAGAACCACACTGTAAATCCCTGATTTTCAAAATGTCAATCAATTGTTTCAGACTTGATTTTTCCTTTTTCTTTCCACACTAATTATACTCTGTCCTCGTTCTCTTCTCTTCAATCTGCATAACCTTCTGTCGTCAGACATTTCACTTTTGATTCATGATACTTATATTTGTCGACAACAGTAGCACACACCACAAATCAAGCCTTAGTTGTAATACTGAAGTATTTAATTGGTATACTAAACATGAAGAATTGTGAAGTGAGATAACAATTAATCATGTTAAATATGACGTGAATAAGAGATAGTCTATTCGTCTTAATAATTAAGTAGTTGAAATATATTCAGCCTTAGGTAAATGTGAACAATGAATAGTTGACAATCTGTTGTCTAGTTTCTTTTGAATGCTATTTAGAATGATCGCGTAGTTCCTATAAATCTACTTGATGACTACGTAACTATTAATCCCATTTTACATGGGCAACAATCAACTTTACATGAGACATTTTGTTGTGAATATAAAAGTAAGTGATCACTGAATAATTACCACATGACTATATCCTAATGATTGGTGATTTTGATGAAATGGTGTATTGTATTTTTCAGTGAAAATAAGTATTGACTTATGTATAAGATGAAAAATAACATTGCTCAATATGGATTATTGGATCAATAGAGTCTCCCTATGTTTACTGTGTGACATTTTCTCCCCAATGCTATTGCACAATAGTTGTGCAATAAAGCCAATTTATCGTAGTGAGGTGCATAAAACTTTGGATCCGGACCTAAGGGTATAAAACGTTATCCATCTATGCGTGACCCAGAAGTTCCAAGTTCGATCTGTGATGGTTTCAAGGATATGTGTTGTTGAGGAATTCCATATCACGGCAAAATCGGCATCTAGAACTTCTTGATGTAATTAGTTATCTGACTATTATTAGCTTTTGACATAAACCACCAAACGTCTTGATGTTATACTTTACTGAGATTATAATTTATGGACGACCGTTGAGCAAACACTAAAGTGACTTTGAGAGTGTCCACCTAATAACTAAGACCAAATGGAGGTTACAAAGCTGTGTGAAGAATTCGAATTATAATTTACAATTAACGGTTAAGGTCAAGAATTAGATTTAGTGTTTTCATCACGAATTGACATCAGCTATAATGCGAAGACACTATTTGGTCAAACGAATGAGGTGAATTTCGCGGTGAAATCCGAGACCTGTTATCATATACCTGATTGGTTCGTTCATAGATTATAGTCTCGCCAGAATGTCTCATTCTTTATCAACAATTGAATATAAACCTTGATGAAACAATTCTAGTTTTTGATAGATTTTTCGAATGAAGTCAGTTTATGATGTACAATTACGTGGTGTGTGTGTGTACGTGTGTTTGTGTTTTGTTATGTAATTTAGATAATACTTGTCAACATCAGTTAAACAACAATTTCAATATTCAATCCGAATCAAATTGTTCCACATGTTCAAATAGAAAACTTTTAATTCTACCTAATCAAACCAATAATGATCATGATAGTTATGTATATGATTGTTATGAATTAAAACAATATCCTTCTCAATCTATCACCAATTCAATATATGATAGTAATAATCCTAATTGTACAATAAAATGTCTTTATAATAAGTTTAATGATGAATCTATTCTTCAAAATGATAATCATAAGCATAATAATCGTGATGAGAAATCATTCAATTTAAATCAAACTCCTTTAATGAATCCAATTTATACAAATGGGATTTGTTTAAATGAATTAATGTCAAATTCAATGATCAATAATCCATATTCATCGTATTTCAAATATCATACAAAAACTTATCCAATTCAAAGATCATATGATACATTCCCTCATAATTGTATGTTATACTCTAATAGAATCGATGAAAATATTCATCTATTTAATAAACAACAACAACAACAAGAGAATTGTATTCATTGTATATTGAAATGTGACAATTCAGTTTTAGCGCCTAAATTAAATGAAACTATTTCTTATTATGATAATAATAATAATAGTATTAACAAAAATGAATGCCAATACTATCTATTAGATAGAATGAATAGAATGTGTAAATATGATCATTTCAATGAATAAATGTTAAGATATCTGTGAATAAAACTATTCTATACTGAATGTTATCACATCCATTTTCATATGAAATATATAGTTGAATAGTTTATCTAATTATCAAAAGGGTTTTGTGGAGATATTAGAAATTTAACTGATTGAAATCATGAGTCAATTGAGGCTAGACCACCATGGAAAACCTGGGAGAAACTAGACGGCCGTTTCGTCCTAGTATGGGACTCCTTAGCAGTGCGCAACCACGATCCCGCACCCCACGAGATTCGAACCCAGGACTCACTGAGGACAATGGTGTACGGCAGCGCAGCTTTGTAATTAGTTCAGGTTAGACATTGACACCGCTGGGTGGCGGCTCAGTGGTCTAGTTGGTTTAGTGCCTTGCGCGAGACTGATAGGTCCTGGGTTCGAATCTCGCGGGATGTGAGTTCGTGGACGCGCGCTGTTGAGGAAACCCATACTAGGACGAAACGGCCTTCCAGTACTTTCCCATGACAATCCAAATTCAATTGACTCATGATTTCAATCAGCGAAGTTTTTCTAATTACCTAAAAGTTTTTATTTGCACAAAGAAATGTGACAATTAGATGTAATTGAATAGTGGTACAAATTAGGATTGCTAGAAATAATACAGTTTAACCAAGTTGTATAAGATGAATACAAACGAATGTATTGTATTTGAAATTTCAAATCAAGTAGTCATCAAGTTATAAAGGAATCATTAGTTCATAAAGCAGCAGTAAACACGTCCTTTGGTTGATAGACGGATATCTCACCTACGCCATAAATGACGCGAGTTGGCAAAAGCTAGTCGAGCCTTCTGTATCCGTGCTGAGATTTCGTCATACACTAAACCACAAAGGCTGATGAGACTTCCAAGATAAGTGAAGCGGTCGACACACTCAACTACTTCACTCCCTATCACTAGTTCGGGTGTCGATGTAACCCAATACTGAAGCAACAATTTGCATTTCGAGTGAGAGAATCGCATCGCCATAAGCTCTCATTCGACCAGTTGTGTTCGAGTACAGAGCCTTTATAAGGTTAATGTACTTCTTTGGTACTTCTTTCAGTGACAAACATTGCCATAGAACCTCACGATCAACGGAGTCGAATGCCGCCTTAAGGTCGAGAAATACTACCATAGTGTGGGCGTCTGAACGCGTGTCTGTGTTCTGCAACCTGACATAGTGTGAACATCTGGTCTATACAACCACGTCCTGGTCGAAAACCAGAATGATTTTCTCTAATCTGCTCTTCAGAAGCTTTAGTTAGGCGTCGAAGTATTATTGAAGCTAATATTTTAGACACTATATTAGTCAAACTGATTCCTCTGTGATTGTCACAAGAGGACTTTTGCCCTTTCTTATAGACTGGCACAATCAGTGATTGAGACCAGTCAGATGGGATTACATCCAGTTCTCAAATTCTACCTAAGACCTCAGTTAATCTCACTGCTAATACTGAACCACCATCCTTGAAAATCTCAGGAGTAAACCTGTCAGGGCCTGCTGCTCTCCCTCGCTTCAGATTTCCTATGGCTTTTTCAACTTCGTAAAGGGACGGAGGACCTACATTAACTTGCCATTCATATTGACTAGAGATCGTGGGAAACCGAAGTGTGGCTGAAGGCCAATTGAACTGATCCCTAAATTGTTCTGCCCATCGATCCAATCTCCTGGATTGAGAATGAATAATATGTCCATCTTTCTCTGAGATTGTTTCGCTAACGGTCGGGTTCCTAATTCCGGTTTCCTTAACGAGTCTGAACAATTGTCTGCTATTACCTATTGCCGCTGCCTTTCCCATCTCTCTTGCTTTCGCTACCCACCACTGTTCGCGATCATTGCGTAAACTTCTTGTCAGCTTGCGCTTAAGCTGACTCCGCTCTTCATTATGTTCAGAGCCAGGTGGAATGAGTTTCCGAGCATCTAACAGTGAGATAGATACTGCTGAGATCCAGTGTTGCTCCTTAACCTTCTGGATATCATTCCATGCTGCATCGGGGTGGGCATCACATACATGGCTGCCTAACTGTTTTCCTAGCTGTTCCTGAAATATACTCTTAGCTTGACTATCATTAAGTAGGCCCCTAAGAGGTTTCCTTACAGCGTCTTTCCTACGTCCAGTAAGACGCAAGCAAATACGAGCTCGCACTAGAGCATGATCTGAATCTAAGCATGTGCTCCAGAATGAGCGACAGCCTTCTATCGAGCCCCTCCATCTGTGGCTAATAGCGATGTGATCTATTTGGGTCCAACGTTGGGACGAATTGGGGGGTCGCCATGTTAAAAGATGTTTTTCCTTATGCTTAAAGTTAGTATTTGCAAAGAACAGGCGGTTATCTGAACACAGTTGCAACAGACGGTCGCCATTATCTGTTCGTTGAGCCACGACACCATAAGATCCACTTAGATGTCTTTCCCCATCGCTTAGTTTACTTACTTGAGCATTAAAGTCACCGGCCACTATTACTACATCAGAGCGCTTAGCTTTTCGGAGAAGGTCGGAAAGCTTTCTGTAAAACTCATCTTTTGCATCATCTGAGCTGCAGTCAGTGGGAGAATAGGCAGAGACGACGAAGAGGCAACGACGAGTGTCTCTATCTTTTCGGATCCTTACTGTTCCGTTCAGTCGAACAGCGCACAAACAACTGTCTACAGGGATCCAGTCTAAGAGAGCTAGTTCTGCCCTAGGACTCAATGCCACACCTACTCCAGCGAGGTCACGGTAAGCACCATCAGTACTTCCAGATACACGAAGCGTAAATCGAGTTGATTCTTTATTATGACATGATGAGGTCAAATGAATGGAGCTACTCGGATCCTGTATGCGCGTTTCGGAGACGCAGCACACATCGATGGTGCGAGATTCTAAAGTTTTAGTTAAGGAAGCCTGCTGTCCTATTTGGCAAAGTGTTCGTACGTTAAAAGCTCCTACGTTTAGTTTAGAGCGTGGTTTCAGGAGACCAGGAATGGCGTTCCACGTACTCGAATCGTTTGCCCTAGCGGTGCGAGATGATAAAGAGACGTGAGGAGGGTTAGTCATGGAGATAAGAGAGGTATTAGGAGGTGTAGGAAGGATTTGAATGTGACCAACTTGGTCTCTTGTGCTGTTACGGGTATGAGGGCTGATGTCACTTCCCGGCTGCCCACACCGTGGAAGGGTATTTCTTGAGGAACCTGAAAGGGAAATTGGATTAGTGTTGGTCTTGACGACCTGGGAGCGTGACCGCAGAGTCCAAGGGACAACTGCTTGAGGCCGGTCGCGCACGGCCTTTTGTGGAAGGTTTTTGACGTGTTAGCTCCGTTCTTCAAAGGGCCTTACCACCGGAGACGGAAATCCGTGAGGTAAAGTGAATTGTGAAATCTTTAGGGTCGACTTTTTCTAACCCTACTCCTCCTTGTGGGAAGGCAGCATCGCTGTCATGATGGTTGTCCGAGGGAAACACCTTACTGTTGTCTCACCCCTCTACAGTCAGCAGTACGACTTCGCCCTCAGACCTTGAGTTGCTGCTTTTAGTCTTACCGTTCACCAATTGACCTGCCTGGCATGGTAGAACCTGCAGGAACATATGTTCCAGCCAATATAGCTCGGTTGGGTCATCACGATAGGCAAGCCCGACCACCGCGTCAAGGTAGCAGCAGTGAAACATGGCCGGTAAGAGCAGAGGATATCCGTAGGTTACTAGTATTTGATCATAGGTGTCTTCGAAACATTGCTCGTCTATCCTGGGACCATCGAGTAAGTAACACAGTTGTTAGGAAACGGGTACTAGGTAAGGATGGCAAATTAATTGAAGTAGTGAAACTCCATCAGTTGAGATGGCTGGGACACGTGTTACGTATGCCCAACGACCGACTGCCTTGACGTGCTATGTTCAGTGGTATAGGAGTAGGTTAGAAGAAAGCTAGGGGTGGCCAGACCAAAACATGGCACAAGTCCATGAAGTGACTGACAAGTGAACTGAGTCATGTTGGTAGGTGTAGACTACCTGGTTGGGGACCGCGAGATGATAGCAACCGATGGTTAGAGACCCTGAATGACATGGCTCTAAATCGTTTGCAATGGCGCAGGTGCATCCACTCTCCGTGTTCTCCCGAATTCTAATCTTCTGAATTCTTCATGTCCCTTTTTTCCTCTTTCCAAATTTATTTTACTGGATTATACTTATTGAATAGTATCCTCAACCCCTTATCTTTCCGATTACTGCTTATAATCTTACTACCTCTACCACTACGGGATTTGAATCGACAACTGCATCTCTGTGCTAATGTGGTGTGGGAACTCGAACTGATGTACGTACGTACGAAGTTCTACGTTGTTACTGACTGACTGGATCTAAGACAACTTAAATTGGAGTCTAAGTTCCAGTTATCGATTTTATGTATTTTCCATAATTTCATCCTATATCTGTCCGACAGTATATTGGATGTAAAACTCTGCACTATCTAGAATGTAGCCATTAGTATTAGAATTAGCAACTGAAATTGGAACGGATTCATCGGGATCGTGTAATTATATACAATCACCATGTCAGTTGTGTAGCGAAACCAGGGATATCTAGAATTTCAATCATAAATTTTACAACAGTATCCTCCCTCACGAAAGAATGTAGGGTACTTACGTCTCAATGTCATGACCAATTTGATGTTCTCAATTCTCATTATAATCTCATATCTCACGCTTTGATTGATTTATGTAAGTGTTTGGCGACACACACTAACATATAATTTGAAGCTTTCCATCATGTGAATAACATGAGAAATTCAATAAGAAGTTGATTGATTAGAAACTTTTGTCTCACAATCATTCAGAGTGTCATTTAAGTCTGTATTGCTATATGACTGTATATTGCTTCACGATATCATGTATAAAGATAATGTATTGTCGGTTATTATGTTAGACCCTTATACCTTTTTCTAGCTTTCAGACAGACAATTCTTTTCGTTCTACTTGAGTCACATTCTGACCTTGTTATTTATTCGCTTATCAATCTTGAATGTTTTTCT